TGTGGAGAAGGGAATGGCTGTGTGTGGAGAAGGGAATGGCTGTGTGTGGAGAAGGGAATGGCTGTGTGCGGAGAAGGGAATGGCTGTGTGTGGAGAAGGGAATGGCTGTGTGTGGAGAAGGGAATGGCTGTGTGTGGAGAAGGGAATGGCTGTGTGTGGAGAAGGGAATGGCTGTGTGTGGAGAAGGGAATGGCTGTGTGTGGAGAAGGGAATGGCTGTGTGTGGAGAAGGGAATGGCTGTGTGTGGAGAAGGGAATGGCTGTGTGTGGAGAAGGGAATGGCTGTGTGCGGAGAAGGGAATGGCTGTGTGTGGAGAAGGGAATGGCTGTGTGCGGAGAAGGGAATGGCTGTGTGTGGAGAAGGGAATGGCTGTGTGTGGAGAAGGGAATGGCTGTGTGTGGAGAAGGGAATGGCTGTGTGTGGGGAAGGGAATGGCTGTGTGTGGAGAAGGGAATGGCTGTGTGTGGGGAAGGGAATGGCTGTGTGTGGAGAAGGGAATGGCTGTGTGTGGGGAAGGGAATGGCTGTGTGTGGAGAAGGGAATGGCTGTGTGTGGGGAAGGGAATGGCTGTGTGTGGGGAAGGGAATGGCTGTGTGTGGAGAAGGGAATGGCTGTGTGTGGAGAAGGGAATGGCTGTGTGCGGAGAAGGGAATGGCTGTGTGTGGAGAAGGGAATGGCTGTGTGCGGAGAAGGGAATGGCTGTGTGTGGAGAAGGGAATGGCTGTGTGTGGAGAAGGGAATGGCTGTGTGTGGAGAAAGAATGGCTGTGTGTGGAGAAGGGAATGGCTGTGTGTGGAGAAGGGAATGGCTGTGTGCGGAGAAGGGAATGGCTGTGTGTGGAGAAGGGAATGGCTGTGTGCGGAGAAGGGAATGGCTGTGTGTGGAGAAGGGAATGGCTGTGTGTGGAGAAGGGAATGGCTGTGTGCGGAGAAGGGAATGGCTGTGTGTGGAGAAGGGAATGGCTGTGTGCGGAGAAGGGAATGGCTGTGTGTGGAGAAGGGAATGGCTGTGTGCGGAGAAGGGAATGGCTGTGTGTGGAGAAGGGAATGGCTGTGTGCGGAGAAGGGAATGGCTGTGTGTGGAGAAGGGAATGGCTGTGTGTGGAGAAGGGAATGGCTGTGTGTGGAGAAGGGAATGGCTGTGTGCGGAGAAGGGAATGGCTGTGTGTGGAGAAGGGAATGGCTGTGTGCGGAGAAGGGAATGGCTGTGTGTGGAGAAGGGAATGGCTGTGTGTGGAGAAGGGAATGGCTGTGTGTGGAGAAAGAATGGCTGTGTGTGGAGAAGGGAATGGCTGTGTGTGGAGAAGGGAATGGCTGTGTGCGGAGAAGGGAATGGCTGTGTGTGGAGAAGGGAATGGCTGTGTGCGGAGAAGGGAATGGCTGTGTGTGGAGAAGGGAATGGCTGTGTGTGGAGAAGGGAATGGCTGTGTGTGGAGAAGGGAATGGCTGTGTGCGGAGAAGGGAATGGCTGTGTGTGGAGAAGGGAATGGCTGTGTGCGGAGAAGGGAATGGCTGTGTGTGGAGAAGGGAATGGCTGTGTGTGGAGAAGGGAATGGCTGTGTGTGGAGAAGGGAATGGCTGTGTGCGGAGAAGGGAATGGCTGTGTGTGGAGAAGGGAATGGCTGTGTGCGGAGAAGGGAATGGCTGTGTGTGGAGAAGGGAATGGCTGTGTGTGGAGAAGGGAATGGCTGTGTGTGGAGAAGGGAATGGCTGTGTGCGGAGAAGGGAATGGCTGTGTGTGGAGAAGGGAATGGCTGTGTGCGGAGAAGGGAATGGCTGTGTGTGGAGAAAGAATGGCTGTGTGTGGAGAAGGGAATGGCTGTGTGTGGAGAAGGGAATGGCTGTGTGTGGAGAAGGGAATGGCTGTGTGTGGAGAAGGGAATGGCTGTGTGTGGAGAAGGGAATGGCTGTGTGTGGAGAAGGGAATGGCTGTGTGTGGAGAAAGAATGGCTGTGTGTGGAGAAGGGAATGGCTGTGTGTGGAGAAGGGAATGGCTGTGTGTGGAGAAGGGAATGGCTGTGTGCGGAGAAGGGAATGGCTGTGTGTGGAGAAGGGAATGGCTGTGTGTGGAGAAGGGAATGGCTGTGTGTGGAGAAAGAATGGCTGTGTGTGGAGAAGGGAATGGCTGTGTGTGGAGAAGGGAATGGCTGTGTGTGGAGAAGGGAATGGCTGTGTGCGGAGAAGGGAATGGCTGTGTGTGGAGAAGGGAATGGCTGTGTGTGGAGAAGGGAATGGCTGTGTGTGGAGAAAGAATGGCTGTGTGTGGAGAAGGGAATGGCTGTGTGTGGAGAAGGGAATGGCTGTGTGTGGAGAAGGGAATGGCTGTGTGTGGAGAAGGGAATGGCTGTGTGTGGAGAAGGGAATGGCTGTGTGTGGAGAAGGGAATGGCTGTGTGTGGAGAAGGGAATGGCTGTGTGTGGAGAAGGGAATGGCTGTGTGTGGAGAAGGGAATGGCTGTGTGTGGAGAAGGGAATGGCTGTGTGTGGAGAAGGGAATGGCTGTGTGTGGAGAAGGGAATGGCTGTGTGTGGAGAAGGGAATGGCTGTGTGCGGAGAAGGGAATGGCTGTGTGTGGAGAAGGGAATGGCTGTGTGCGGAGAAGGGAATGGCTGTGTGTGGAGAAGGGAATGGCTGTGTGTGGAGAAGGGAATGGCTGTGTGTGGAGAAGGGAATGGCTGTGTGCGGAGAAGGGAATGGCTGTGTGTGGAGAAGGGAATGGCTGTGTGTGGAGAAGGGAATGGCTGTGTGTGGAGAAGGGAATGGCTGTGTGTGGAGAAGGGAATGGCTGTGTGTGGAGAAGGGAATGGCTGTGTGTGGAGAAAGAATGGCTGTGTGTGGAGAAGGGAATGGCTGTGTGTGGAGAAGGGAATGGCTGTCTGTGGAGAAGGGAATGGCTGTGTGTGGAGAAGGGAATGGCTGTGTGTGGAGAAGGGAATGGCTGTGTGTGGAGAAGGGAATGGCTGTGTGTGGAGAAGGGAATGGCTGTGTGTGGAGAAGGGAATGGCTGTGTGTGGAGAAGGGAATGGCTGTGTGTGGAGAAGGGAATGGCTGTGTGCGGAGAAGGGAATGGCTGTGTGTGGAGAAGGGAATGGCTGTGTGCGGAGAAGGGAATGGCTGTGTGTGGAGAAGGGAATGGCTGTGTGTGGAGAAGGGAATGGCTGTGTGTGGAGAAAGAATGGCTGTGTGTGGAGAAGGGAATGGCTGTGTGTGGAGAAGGGAATGGCTGTGTGTGGAGAAGGGAATGGCTGTGTGTGGAGAAGGGAATGGCTGTGTGTGGAGAAGGGAATGGCTGTGTGTGGAGAAGGGAATGGCTGTGTGTGGAGAAGGGAATGGCTGTGTGTGGAGAAGGGAATGGCTGTGTGTGGAGAAGTGAATGGAAGCGGGAGTAGGAGGGAATGGAAGCGTGAGGGGAAGGGAATGGCAGCGGGGGGGGACAGGGAACGGATGCGGGAGGGGAGAAGGGGAATGGAAGCGTGAGGGGAAGGGGATGGGAGTGGGAGGGGAAGGTAATGGAAGTGTGAGGGGACGGGATGTAAGCGTGAGGGGAACGGGAATGGAAGCGGCTGGAGAAGGGAACGGCAGAGTGTGTGGAAGGGAGATGGAAGCCGGGGGGGGGAAGGAATGTTTGCGGGAGGGTAAGCGAACTGAAGCGTGAGGTGTAAGGAGAAGGGAGGGTGAGGGGAAGGGAGTGGAAGCGTGAGGGGAAGGGAATGGCAGAGGGAGGGGAAGGGAAAGGAAGCGGGAGGGGACGGGCAAGGAAGAGGGAGGGGACTGGAATGGCAGCGTGAGGGGAAAGGAATGGATGCGCGGGGGAGAAGGAATGGATGCGCGGGGGAGAAGGAATGGATGCGCGAGGGGAATGCGCGAGGGGAAAGGAATGGATGCGCGAGGGGAAAGGAATGGCAGCGTCTTGGGAATTGAACGGCAGCGTGTGCGACAGTACTATCGGCGGGAGAGGTGGAAATTGAGGCGGGAGGGGGGCGACTCACGGGTGAGAGAAGGGAACAGTCGCGAAGGACAAAAAGGTACCTGCCGCGGAGGAAAGGGAACAGTTGCGCGAGGGTTGGGAATAGTCGCGCGACGGAAATGGGGTAGCAGGGCGAGGGGAAGCTTTAGCAGCGCGACCATCAGTGAATTAGCACCGCGTCTGAAAGGGAGTAGCAACGCGACGGGAGGAAATTGCCGCGCGAAAGGAAGATCCCAACCGCGCGATGGGAAGGGAATGGCTACGCGACGGGTAGGGTAGCGCTGCGTTTGCGAATTCCCCTTCGGCGAGCGGGAAGGGAACTATGGGTGTCGCGACGTGTTTTCCGGAAATCCCGTGCAAGCATGTACTCACACGTGTCTTCGGCCGCGATCTCGAAAGTCTGATGTCTGATTTATCCGGTAGATCTGAACCGGACAAGATTATTCTGCCGAGACCACTACAGCGTCTCCTGCGGCGGACATCCCCCTGGGAGTGACGATTATGGGGACCAACATAAGTCGGACTGGGAGTGTCTCTCTGCTGATCTGGTGTCAACTGCCAAAATGACAATACCGGATACAACAGTGATACTGACAGATCTTACAGCAGGAAAAAAGGCTACAAGAATGATGACATGTTTAATCACTTAACTTTTACTTGGCTATTAAAATGCTGTAATCATATCCACTTTTACTTGGCACTTAGCATACTGTGTTCAGATCCACCCACACCTGAACATCTGCTATGAGGGGAGGGCCACGCTGTTGACCCGCTGCCAGAATGTTGCATTGAGCAGAACTAAAGATGCACCTTATAATCTTCACAAGCACTTATAAATCAGCTGTACCTTCAGACCTAACCTTCAACTACTAAAGATAACATAGTTGCTGCTTCAAGCAGAGCCACCAACTGCAGGTACAGTAGATGTTTTCTTAGTACCATAAGTGACATTGCGAAGACTTGGCCCAAAATAAATATGATTTCCAAGTTTTCTTGTGCGACTGTAAATGTCATTACAGGTTACCAATCTGGACCCTACATCTCAATTGCTCCTGCATTGCCACTGCTCAGCAACAGAATGGACGAGGGAGGCAGGACAGAAAAGGAGACATTGTCAATGCTTGAAGGAACCAGGTCACAATACAACATGGTAGAGAAGTCAGATTGCCCACAGCAGCCCAAAACCTGACCATGGTGGATTGAGCGAAGGAGAAGACAGCGGCAGCATTCACTTACTCTCCGTATTTGGCTCGCCAGATGTTGCGTTGGCGGATCCAGCAGATGCACGCGCACAACATGACAAGGACCATGCCGCCACAGACTCCTGCACAGCCAGCAATGGGTATGCATGATGAATAGAGGCGAGGATGAGCTACAAGGAAAATATTACAGAAAGGCTGCAAAAGAAGACCTTTCCACCCAGTAAGACAAGGCTGCAGGGGGTGAGTAGTTGGGCATTGCATGAACGGATAGGTATTCAGTGCGTTGTTTGACAAAAAACAGCAAGGTGTGGTTGTGAGGAGGGGGTACGGAGACAATGAGGGATGAGAGAGTGGTGGACAAAGGATAGACTCCAGAGGGGTATGAGCAGCCTGGGGAGGGAGGTTGGCAGCCGGAGGTTGGGGGGGAATATGGGAAAACAACGTAAGAATGACGATTCAAGAATCTGCGGAGGCACATGAAGGGGCTTACATAAGGTTTGAAACATCTTTGCAGCTCCTCTAAATTCTTGCAACTGTTTTTTCCCAAACCAGTTTGACTGTCTAGTGGTTCAAGTAGAGGTTCAAGGATGATCACATGCAAATTGCGCGATTCCAAGAGCGCGAAACTGTTGCTACGTAAAGTGGAGCTTCCGTGCTTGAACATTAAAAACATGCGCCCGCATGTTTCTCACCACCATGACGCCCGCACGTTTCGACCAGTCCTCACAAGTAACGTGGACATCTAAAATTGGTCTAGATGTGATTATTTGTCCAGTCGAGACGCGATATAAGCACTTATTGGGCGCAATTCTAGCCCAGTCCCTATGAGACAGAGATTCAATCTAGATGCGAGACAGAGTCGAGTCGAGGGAGTTTCAGGTCTCAGTGCGAGACGCAATTTTTCGGTCTCATTTGAGTTTGGTTAAAATGAGACAGTTGTTGGATCCTAGATGCATCTTGGTGCGATAAGACGTTCGTTCTAGACACGGAAAATGCATGGTCTCGCAATAGATGTCGAGTTCAAATGCGATGAACTTGATAATACGCACACCATGATTGTATGCATGGACTCACCAGCGACGATGCCAATAATGGCCTCTGTGGAGAGATCGCCGCCCTTCATCTTCTCGTACGCGCCTTGGAAGTCGTACATCGTGCCGTTACCCGCAGTCACCGTATCATCAACAGCCACGGTGGCAGATTCTGTTGGAACCGTCGCGTCGACGGGAGTGGCGGCGTCAGGATCGAAATTAGGATCGGTCGTGTCAGGAGCAAACGCGGCAGACGCGGTGTCCGTCGGCTGGGCTGCGTCCTCAACGGGAGCGGTATCAGTGGGAATGCCCTCCGGCGCAGTGGTGGTTTCTGGGGGGATGCCCCCCGGAGCCGGTTCGCCAGCAGGCTGTTGCTCGTCTACGGGAGTAGTATCGTCGGGCAGGTAGGCGTCTTCCGGGGGAAGGAACGGATCTTGCGCATTTTCCCCGGGAACGGCGTCTTCGCCTGGAACTGCATCGGTGGGAGCAGTTTCGCCTTCGTTAAACACGTTCGGGTCCGCGTATTGGTCGAGCTGGTCCGGAGGCACGCCCATGTCCTCCGGCAAGGTGGTGTCCCCTGCGGGATCAGGATAGTCTTGATCTCGTTGCGCGTGACATACCGTCGAGCCGAGTAGGACTAGGCTAAGAACAAGAAAGAGGCTGAATCGATGGAAGGAGCGAGCCATGCCTAATGCTCGAGACGTCCCCTGCTATGTTACTGCACGAGAACCCCAATGCCTCTTGAGAAGGTAGCTGGGAGGAGAGAGCAACAGCCAACAATGCAGAAAATAAGACGATCTAGGAATTTCCTATCAAACGAATTACTGATTTAGTTTCTGCGATATGCTGTAACTGCCAGAATAAGGTTGGTTTGAATACAACCGTGGACCTCGAAGTTGGTGGAGGAAATATCGAGGCTCGAACCACAAGTACGTCTGGCGGGAACAAGCCTGGCAACCACAATCAAAAGCTGGTTCGTAGGTCGGGGAGGAGGGGGAAGAGGGAAACCACTTGGTTTAGCACTTCCCGAAGCTGACTGCTAGGTTGCTGATTGAATTCCGAACTGCAGCCACATGGGACCTGGATGTTGTCACAACAGCTGCGGGATTGCCGGAAGGGCATTGGCGGTAGGTGCGACTAGGTGCCAGTGGGAGGCAGCAAGGCGGCTTTGTGGCGAAAATTCCTCGCCCTATAGTAACGGCAAGCGCCACGGAAACCACAGCTACCACCTGAACCCCCGATATAGATTCTTTCGCTAGAGTGAACTTACATATGTGCTTGCTTCTGGCTACAAACAGCATCGAACACTGACTGCTCTCAAAAAGAATATGTAGTCAGAGAATTTCAACACCATATTGTGTGTACTCCGTGGGCAGGATTCATTTGTTCAACAATGCAACGTCAGGGGCAGGGCTGTAGAAGCAAGGGCATTTTCCCTTCATGCCCTGAACATTCCGGCCTACGTTTCGAGCAGCTCGACCATATTAAGTGTTAGATGGGCATGGCACCCATGACAGTTAAGGGCCTCGTTTGGGCCTTCCCCTGAATCAAGTTTTGGTTTCTGTTTTGAAGGACCCCCCCACACCCGAATTCCCGCCGCCATCCCCTCCCCCCCCAACCCCCACTCCCCGATATTTTTGCCGACGGTGTTTTTGCGGACGATGTAGAGGCTATAGGCATGTAGATGAGTAGTTTGTGTGTACCTTTTCCGGCTAAGTAGGAGGTAAAAATCCTCCTGTGTTACATTAGGGCCAAAGTACACTTTCCTAAGAAGTGCTGATTTCCAGTTTTGAATTTGGCCTACGCCCGTGAAAATCAGGGCAAGAATTCGAACAGCACAGGACTCAAAGTTTTGGTCCCAGGGACTTCGACAGGCCAGGGGGCGATGAATGCTTTACAGCATGATCGAGTTCAGACCCGAGACTCGCTTTGAGGCAGAAAAGGGAGTCGGTGCCCCACAGGCCGGTTGAGGCATCGCCCAGGGTTCGTGGTGCCTGGCTCGGCAGGGTTTGGCGTGCTGCATGCACAAGTGGCACAAGTGCTCCTTCGACGTTTCGGCCGACACGTGTCGATTTCGCAGCGGATCTCGAAAACCCCGCGCCGCGATGCGAGCAATCCAATCTCGCCGGGCTCGAAATTTCGCATGCACCCGATGCGAACCCACGTGCGAGCACGTGGCGTCACCGCAACGGGTCGCGAAATTGTCGAGCGTCCCGAGGGGAGCACCCGAATTTCGCATGGCCCTCGCCTGCCCGTCCGGGCAGGTCGCGAGGGTCACTAGGACGTCGCGGGCAGCGGGCACGGGAGGGCTGCCTTCGCGCGAGGGTTACTTTCCCTCGCGCGAGGGCTCGCCAGCTCGCCGCCCCCACCCGGTAACGTGGGGCGCTGTTCAATCACGCAGGGGACGACCCCCTCTGACGACACCGGCAAATCGGTTCCGACGACCGATTTGCGCTGGGATGTTCGGGGGCGATGAATGCTTTATAGCATGATCGAGTTCAGACCCGAGACTTGCTTTGCGTCTTCATGAAGCAAGGCGCCTTTCTTTGAACCCCAGCCCCTACTCATGCGTGGGGAACCATCGTTTCAATGCGTGTGCTCGCTCGGTTCACAGCGAGCATCCGTCCCGCATTTAGGCTCAGACTCGCCAACAGTCGAAGCACGCTAGATTTTGCAACAGCTGCGCCACTGACAGTAAAGGTAGTGCAGGATTGCGAACCAGCAGCAAACCCGCTCGCTTTTCGTACGAATTCTTTGCGTTCGTCGTGCAACATGACTAGCAAGGGACGAGGCTCGCGCAAGAGCAAGCACAGGGAATCCCGCGCAGAAGCGAATCACCGTGTGGACGAGGAGAAGCGGGCGATGGCGACAGCGGCTTAACGAATGCGGAGGCGGGGGAAGGCGGAGTGCTCGGAAGCGCAAGCAGCGCTAGCAGCGCGGGTTCGAAGACGCGGAAAGTGGCAGTGGCACGCATAGTGGCGGCGTTTTACCCCAAGTTCGAGAATGAATCCGCGGATGGCGAGGTGAATCAGCGAGGGACTTGCAGATAGGGACACACACAGAGGTGACTACTGAGAAGTCTCAAATGTCGTTTACCTCAAGTTCGAGAACGAGTCCGCGGATGGGGAGGTGAATCAGTGAGGCGAATGCGAGATGAATCCGCGAGGCTCTTGAGGATAGAGATCCACACAGAGGTGACCTCTGAGGCCCCTCATAAGTCGCTGTACTCCAAGAATAGACGAATCTGCGGACGGGGAGGTGAATTCGTGAGACACTTGAGGATAGGGATTCACAGAGTGGTGGAAGGGAGAGGGAGTGGTGAGGAAGCGGGCAACCGACGCGTGCTCTGTTGCATTGATCATTGTTGACAACCAATGAGTCATTGCGCTGAACTGGATGCGCCTCTTCCATGCCGCCCTTCCTGTTCCCCACTTCCCGTTCCGCCCCGATCCGTTTTCCGCTCTTACCTCTTCCGTCCTGCTCCCGTGGCGCCAGGTCCGCGGGGAGATGCAGCGGCTTGTCGGCAATGGCGTTGGCGTTCTCGAGGTGAGCGATCTAAAACAATCTGCACCGTTGATGTTGTCAACTTCATCTGCTCTGCACCGTTGATCTTGTCAACTTCGTCTGCTCTGTACCATTGATGCTGACAACGAACTCATTCATTGCTGGAGGAAGAGACGTGCTTCGTTCCTGTGCCATCCAGCATCTTACTGAACAGCGAAGTCCGTGTCATTCTGACTCGTTGCTTGCAGTATGCTCAACCCTTTCCTTCCTTCCTCTGTCTCCGCCTGTCATCCCCCTCACTTCTTCGAACCACTCTTAAAACCTGCCTCTTGGGCAGGTGTCAGTGAAGCACAGCGGCTCGCTCTTTCTGTGGGCGGGTGCAAGGAGAGGCGCGTATGCTAAGAACTCCTACGGCAACGAGTGAGTGCCGTGTCTAGATTTGTCTTATAATTAAGAAGAACTAGTGTTGTAAAGCGTCCACGCCATACCACATCGTTTTGCCCCACTCACTGCCATGCCTGTCCCTCCTGTCGCACACACGTCCTCAAGTACTCGGCTGTGAGCGTGTGGGTGCTGGGGGGAAGGGATTGGGTGTGTTCACACCATTCCACACCACATCCTAAACACCCCTCACTGCCAAGCCTAGCCTGTCCCCCCTGTCTCACGCCTGTCTGCATTCCACATCCTCAGGTACTCGGCAGTGGGCGTGTGGGTGCTGGGGGAGACGCTGCGCAAGGCGTGGGGGGAGGGCTTGGTGCAGCAGAAACAGGGGGAGCTGAGCGACTATGTGGAGGTGAGTCTGTCACTCACTGGGGGCGTGGCGGAGCCATTGCCGAGGTATGGCATGTGCGTGCATGTGTGTCTGTGTGTCTGCATGCATGCATGGGTAATGAAACCATTTCCGCAGCAACCAACCATCCCCCCTTCACCCTCCCTCTCTATTGCATGGACACACACACCAGAGGCATCGCATGGCGCTGGGCATGGAGCTGGTCACATCGGTGCTGGGAGATCACGGGCAGAGACCAGTGCATGATTATGGTGAGTCCTCTGTTTGACCACGGCTCAACCATTGTGGGATTGCTTGCTTTCATGATTTGCTTTGCCTTGCATGCTGTCGCCTGGCCCTTGCCTTGCATGCTGTCGCCTGGCCCTTGCCTTGCATGCTGTCGCCTGGCCCTTGCCTTGCATGCTGTCGCCTGGCCCTTGCCTGCCTTTCAACGTCGTCCTTACCTTCTCTTGCAATCTCTCCCTCCCGCTACCCCGTGCTCGCATCCATACCCTCTCCCAGTGGAGGTGACAGCAGTGACTGACATGGTTTTGAGGCCCTTAAGAATATTCATTCCTTTCACGGTTTCAACCATGCACCCCTCTCTCCCTCCATCCCCCATGCTTTCTCTCCACACCCGAGGTGCTGCGCTTCTGTCACACCTGGCGCCTGCCCTTCAACTCCTACTGGCTCTTCCACTCCACGTACGCCCTCTCTCTCCTCTCCTCACGCTTCTTGCTTCTCTCTCCTCTCCCCCCACCCTCCCATCTCTTCTCACAACTTCGTATTCATCGTTCTGCAGCATACCCTGCCCTTCAACTCTTGCTTGCTCTTACACTCCAAGTGCGCCCCCCTCGTTCTCCCCCCTCCTCTTCCCCTCCTCCACTGAGCACGGGGCGAGGAGGAATTAAATGTGACCCCATCTCCAAGCAGGTGCCACCCCACTTCCCCATCCCTTCCGTTTTCTCCCCCATGCCTTCCCCCCACTACTTGCCACCAGCGAATCGTGCACCCAGCTGTTTGCAGCGTACAACGCATTGAGTGAGGAGGGCACGGCCCACTCAGTCGAGGACACTCTCACCAGCATCGCAGACGTCACCATTGCAGGTTAGCCGCTTGCTCGCATATAGGCAGGCACTATGCTCATGCATTGCCTTGCCTTGGTCTGCCTTCCATCGCTGAGTGCGGAGGGCACTGCCTAGTGCCCACTCAGTCGAGGACACGCTGACCCGCATTGCAGACGTCACGGTTGCAGGTCAGCTTCTTGCTCTCACACTCACGCACCCTCTCTTTCTGTTCTTGATGCCATGGATGGACTGCTGTAGGGTTCCCCCTTCCTTCACCATTCCCCCTTCCGCGTTTCTCTTTTCACTGCAGCATCCTCCTCCGCGTGTGCAACATGTTGGAAAATCATATTAATAAGAATAAAATCTCACTCCCGTACCATATTGCTTGCACGTCCTCTCCTCCTTCCCCCCCCCCCCTTCTCCCCGCCCTTCTGCCCCCACTCAGGCACAGCATCGCACGAGAAGCTTCAAGGGAACATCATGGAGGGGCTGGTGGCGAGGCTGGTGAGCCCAAGGAGCCTGCAGCAAGTCACAGAGCTCAAGGCGGGGCTGCTGGCTGGTGAGTGGTGCAGAGATGAAGGTTAGGGGGACGACGTTGGGGAGGTGAGTCTTTTTTCAAGGGGGATGACGCTTGGTTGTGGTGAGGCTGGTGAGCCCCAGGAGCCTGCAGCAAGTCAGAGAGTTGAAGGTGGGGCTGCTGGCTGGTGAGTGGTGCAGAGATGAATTTTAAGGGACAGGGCCAGGGGACAGGGTTAGGGCTAGCTGCCGATTCTCCTGCGTCTGGAGCTGCAGATTCTCCTGCGCCTGGAGCTGCAGATTCTCCTGCGCCTGGAGCTGCAGATTCTCCTGCGCCTGGAGCTGCAGATTCTCCTTCGTTTTTTTACTCTTTTAACACGCTTGGTTGTGATAAGGCCAGTGAGCCCCAGGAGCCTGCAGCAATCAGCACCGCCCTTCTTCTCATCAAATCAACTTCTCCCTCCTCTTCTGGTTGCTTTTTCTTGGCGCCCACGCCCTCCTGTCCCTGACTCTGCATGAGGCCCGGCGGCCGGCTATCCCGTGGGAGCAGGCACGAGGCTGAGAGAGCTTTGAGGCACCTCAAAAATCGCCGACGCCCTCCTGTCCCTTTCTTTGTGTCTCCTCTGCATCAGGCCCAGCGCCCAGCTATCCCGTGGGAGCAGGCACGAGGCTGAGAGAGCTCTTCACTCAACACGACTCCATGCGCGAGGTCAGTGAGGGTGGGGCGATGCAGGAGGTGAGGCTGGGGCGGAGATGAGAGAGGACGCAGTGCTAGGAATGTGGTTGCCCCAGTTGAAAGGGAACTCTTACTGCATTCTGTCAGTTGCCTCTCTTTCAATATGCCCCCAAGGCCTTTCTCTGCTTCGTCCCTCTACTCCTCATCTCCCTGCTGCCTCATCTGTCTTTTCTCCCCCCCACTCTTCTATCCCTCCCTTTACCCCCTTCCTCTCTCCCATCCCCCAGCGCATCGCCCATCTGGTGGAGGAGGCAGGAGACGCCATGTGCAGCACCGGGCAGTGGGGGGAGGGCGTGGCGGGGGGGAGTGGGGGAGAGGACGAGGAAGGAGGCACTGTGGTCGACGGGGAGGAGAGTGAGAGTGCGGGGAGCGCGAAGCAGAAGCGCAGGCAGCAGGAGGAGGAGGAGGAGCGGCAGGTGACTGACTGGATGAACTCGCTGCTGAGTTGTACTGCAGCAGATGCTGAGACGAGCAAGCTGCAGGTAATTGCCGTGCCGGCTATTAGTCTGGTTTCCAGGCCTTCGTACACTCCTCCTTAAAAGGGTACTGGTAGTGGCTGCATTACATTTGATTTCCTCTGGCCCTTCCATTTCCTCTTACTCCAAGTTCCAGCCATTTCAACCCCATTGCTCCCCTGCCGCCCCTTCCCAGGCCATGCTTCGAGCGGTGAAAGCCGAGAAGCTCAAAGTGCGGTTCAAGTCACACCCCTGGCCCCTCCCCACCTCGCCCTCTCTCCTCGCCCCTGCCTCCTCCCCGTCCTCCTCCTCCACCATCTTCTCCCCTTCCTCCTCTTCCTCCTCCTTGTCCTCCACGTCCGCACCACACCAGCCATCCACAGTCCCCCTCTCCCACCATCTTATCACAGTGCATGCCTTCCAAGACGCGGCCTTCCGCAGATACCAGCAACTGATGCGGTGAGGTGCAGTGACATGCTGTGAGATGGGGTTTGATGCGGTGAGGTGCAGTGACATGCTGTGAGATGGGGTTTGATGCGGTGAGATGCAGTGACATGCTGTGAGATGGGGTTTGATGCGGTGAGGTGCAGTGACATGCTGTGAGATGGGGTTTGATGCGGTGAGATGCAGTGACATGCTGTGAGATGGGGTTTGATGCGGCGAGATGCAGTGCAAGCAGTGAGTGGTGTGATGGTTGACCGCCTCAAACGTTCAACGGTCTTCCCTGTACGTGAAGAGCCCACAAAGAGTCCACGCTCTGCCCAGCCTTGTGCTCCTACCCATTCCTGTAGCCATCCTCTCCCCTTACCTTCCCCACCCGCTTCCGCACTCTCACTCTCACCGCCACCCTCTCGCCCGCCCTCACTCTCACCCGTCCTCACCCACCCTCCATCGGCACACCTGCCATGGCCTTTTCATCTCTTCTCTTTCCGCCTCCAGCAAGGACCCCAGTCTGTGGCCGCTGTACCGGGGATTCTTCCTGGAAGCTGCGGTGGTGGAGGTGGAGAAGAGCACGGGGAAGCAGCTAGTAGCAGTGACGGCTGATGCTGCTGATGCTGCTGATGCTGATGATTATGATGTTGCTGCTGGTGATGACGGTGTTTCTAGTGCTGCTGTGGAAGAAGGGGGCAGGGAGCAGGTGCCGCATGTGATGCTCAAGATGAAGTTTCTCCCGTACAAGCTGAGGACGTTCCTTATTCGCAATGGACTCGGCACGCTGCTGAAGAAGGGGCGCCATGAGTACATGGCTTATGCTACCAGGTGCAGGTTGGGGGGAGGGATGCATGGGGTGCATGTGGCATGTGGATGGAATGTGTGCACGCTGCATGGCATATGCTGGCAGGTGGGGTTGGGGGCAAAGATCGATTGCATGTGACATGTGCGCCCTCTGGTGAAAAAGGGGCGCCATGAGTACATGGTGTATGCTACCAGGTGGGGGTGGGCGCATGCATGGGCTGCTGCTGCTGCTGATGCTGCTGATGCTGCTGATGCTGCTGATGCTGCTGATGCTGATGCTGATGCTGATGCTGATGCTGATGCTGATGCTGCTCATGCTGCTCATGCTGCTGATGCTGCTGCTGCTGCTGCTGCTGCTGCTGCTGATGCTGCTGCTGCTGATGCTGCTGATGCTGATTCTGATGCTGATGCTGATGCTGATGCTGCTGATGCTGATGCTGATGCTGATGCTGATGCTGATGCTGATGCTGCTGCTGCTGATGCTGATGCTGATGCTGATGCTGCTGCTGCTGATGCTGATGCTGATGCTGATGCTGATGCTGCTGATGCTGATGCTGATGCTGATGCTGCTGATGCTGATGCTGATGCTGATGCTGATGCTGATGCTGCTGCTGATGCTGCTGCTGATGCTGCTGCTGGTGCTGGTGCTGTTGCTGCTGTTGATGACGGTGTTTCTAGTGCCGCTGTGGAAGGAGGGGGAAACGAGCAGGTGCCGCATGTGATGCTCAAGATGAAGTTTCTGCCGTACAAGCTGAGGGCCTTCCTCATTCGCAACGGGCTCGGCACTCTCCTGAAGAAGGGGTGTCACGAATACATGGCTTATGCTACCAGGTAGGGCTGGGGGCATGCATGGGTTGCACGTGGCATGTGCGTGGAATCGGCTTGGCACTCTGCTGAGCAAAGGCCGCCATGAGTACATGGCGCGTGTGCAGTTGTGGGTGCATGCATGTGCCGCACAGTGAGCTTGAGCATGGTGAGAGGTCAGAGGGATAGGAGAAATCTTTCACACAGGAGACACGCACGCCCTTGTTCCACTCTTGTCTAACCCTCCTCCATCAACTGTATCTTCCTTGATCAGTGCCTGGACACCTCCTTGTACCCCGCGAGATGACCCTTTCTTTTGAGGCGCCTGAAATGTATTGTCTGCTTTCCCCCATGCTCACTGGGCGCTGTGTGTGTGTGAGCAGGCTGCTCAAATTGTGGGGGACGGCTCCAGCTGCCACTCAAGAATTGTTCTAGTCTGCTCAAGCATGTGCGCCTAACCTCCCCTTCCCCCCATTTCCCTGTGCTCACTGTGCACTGGGTGCTGTGTGTGTGTGTGTGTGAGCAGACTGCTCAAGGTGTGGGGCACATCACCAGATGCCACCAGGGAGATGACCGCGCTCTGCCGAGCATGGTGCGTGCACGGTGCAGTGCGGTGAGAACGGTGCAGTGCGGTGAGCACGGTGCAGTGCGGTGAGCACGGTGCAGTGCGGTGAGCATGGTTCAGTGCGGTGAGCACGGTGCAGTGCGGTGAGCATGGTGCAGTGCGGTGAGCACGGTGCAGTGCGGTGAGCATGGTGCAGTGCGCTGAGCATGGTGCAGTGCGGTGAGCACGGTGCAGTGCGGTGAGCATGGTGCAGTGCGGTGAGCACGGTGCAGTGCGGTGAGCATGGTGCAGTGCGGTGAGCATGGTGCAGTGCGGTGAGCATGGTGCAGTGCGGTGAGCATGGTGCAGTGCGGTGAGCACGGTGCAGTGCGGTGAGCATGGTGCAGTGCGGTGAGCATGGTGCAGTGCGCTGAGCATGGTGCAGTGCGGTGAGCATGGTGCAGTGCGGTGAGCATGGTGCAGTGCGGTGAGACGGTGCAGTGCGGTGAGCATGGTGCAGTGCGGTGAGCATGGTGCAGTGCGGTGAGCATGGTGCAGTGCGGTGAGACGGTGCAGTGCGGTGAGCATGGTGCAGTGCGGTGAGCATGGTGCAGTGCGGTGAGCATGGTGCAGTGCGGTGAGACGGTGCAGTGCGGTGAGCATGGTGCAGTGCGGTGAGCATGGTGCAGTGCGGTGAGCACGGTGCAGTGCGGTGAGCATGGTGCAGTGCGGTGAGCATGGTGCAGTGCGGTGAGCACGGTGCAGTGCGGTGAGCATGGTGCGTGCGGTGAGCATGGTGCGGTGCGGTGAGCATGGTGCGTGCGGTGAGCATGGTGCAGTGCGGTGAGCATGGTGCAGTGCGGTGAGCATGGTGCAGTGCGGTGAGCATGGTGCGGTGCGGTGAGCAGAGTATGCTGAGTGCTGCACGCTCGCATCTGCCCTACCCTTACCCCCCTTCGCCCTTCGCACACTGCACACCGTCTCTTCCTCCAACATTCCCCCCAACTCTTTGTTCCTTCTCCAAACCAACTCCTCCTTGCCCCTTCCCATGGGTTTAGTCCGCCATCTTCTGACCCATACCCTCTCCTTCCTCTCATCCCTCCTCCAGCCCGTCCTTCCCTTTCCCTTCCCCGCCCTCCTCTTCCTTGCTTCTCCCTTCGTTCCCTGTTCTTCCCCCCAGGGCGGACTATGTGCTGGGCCCGCCCGCCTCCCCCCGCCCTCCCAAGTCCATCTCCTTCATTTCCTACCTCGACTATGCCGAGCCCTTTCTTACTGCCCACCCACCTCCCTTCCTCCCCTCTTTCTCCCCCTTCCCTTCCCCCATGTTATCCCCCCCCCCCCTTAACTTCCCCAGGGCGAACTATGTGTTAGGTCCCACCTCCACCCCCCGCCCTCCCAAGTCCATCTCATCCAACTCGTACCTCGACTATGCCGAACCTTTCCTTGCTGCCTATGCCAAGAGGGGAGCAGCACAGGCCAAGGCAGTGGGGGCCGCATGGGAGGGGGAAGCAGGGGAAGGGGTTGAGGGGACACGTGGGGAGGAGAGTGAGGGGGCGGAAGGTGGAGGGGAGGGGAGGCGGGAGCAGAGCAAGGGGCTGTTGGTGTTCTTCCCGGGGATTCCTGGGTGTGCCAAGTCTGCTCTCTCGGAGGCCCTTATGCAGATGGGCCGAGGCAGTGGGGGTGTTGATTCAGCGGAGCAGGCATGGAGAGGCAAAGAGGGCGAGTCGTCTTTGCAGGGAGGGAGACGCAGTGGAGCTGATCTAGCTGTACAGGTGGAGGGAGGTAGCCAGAGCGGTGCAGTGCGAGAGGGAGGGGTGAACGGAGGACATGAGGGGCAGGGAGGAACCTGTTCTCTGCCTGGTTTAGACCAAGGATCCCCTGTGGCTGGAGCAGAGGCAGGGATGGCAGAGGAGGAGGAGGGGTGGCAGGAGGTGACGAGAGGGAAAGGGAAGGGGAAGAAGGGTGCGAGAGGTGGCAGGGAGAAAGGGAGGGGGGCGGGAAGGGGAGGTGAAGGAGAAAGGGGCGGAAGGAGAGGGGAGAGAGCGACAGGGGGTGGGGGAGGAAGCAGGGAGGGAGGGGAGGTGGAGGAGGGTGGAGGGCCGTTGGGCGACGGGAGGGAATGCCTACACATTATGGGCGACAAGACGACAGGTGGGTGGGGGCATTGTTGCATGGTACATCGTGGCGCGGCGTTGCGCATCATGGCACATCCTTCCAGTTTTGAGACATCTCAAAACGCATCATGGCACATCCTTCCAGTTTTGAGACGTCTCAAAACCATCATGGCACATCCTTCCAGTTTTGAGACGTCTCAAAACGCATCATGGCACATCCTTCCAGTTTTGAGACGTCTCAAAACGCATCATGGCACATCCTTCCAGTTTTGAGACGTCTCAAAACGCATCATGGCACATCCTTCCAGTTTTGAGACGTCTCAAAACGCATCATGGCACATCCTTCCAGTTTTGAGACGTCTCAAAACGCATCATGGCACATCCTTCCAGTTTTGAGACGTCTCAAAACGCATCATGGCACATCCTTCCCGTGCCTTCGCCTTCTGGCTATCCCACTTGCCTCCATGGCATACTCATCATGCTCCCTGCCCCTCCGACCCCATCCCACCAAATCCCACGGTACCTGCTAAGCAGGCAAGTACTGGAAGGTGTTGGGGGCGCGTATGAGGAAGGAGAGGGGGGCGAGTGTGAACGTGCTGGCGGATAAGAACGCGCCTAACGAGGACGTGTGGAACCAGGTCCGTGCTCTCATGGTCACATACCCAAGTGCTCACATCCTCACGTGCTCATGTGCTCATGCTGTAAGGCCATTTGCCACGGCACTGACGCATGAGACGTCTTACAACTGCATTAGCTCAGGCTTCCCCCACTGTTGCTCTCACCCCATCCACCCACCCGTGTTTGGCGGTCAGATAAAAGTTATCTGCCACGACACAGGGGCTGCTGCTTTGAGACGCACCACAAACTGCACCGATGCATGTTCCCCCCTGTTGCTCACACCCCATCCTCCCACCCATCCGATGTGTGATATGCAGATAGAAGCCATTTGCCACGACACAGGGCTGATAGGCGTGCCTGTTGTGCCTGCCTCACTAGGTAAGCTGTCCGGGGGAGGGTGATAGGGGGGTTTGAGGGGGGAAGAAAATGGGTGTGGGCTGATGGTGGTGGAGAGTGTGGATGGAGGAGAGGTGGTGGTGTATGAGTGAGGGCAGAGGGAGGTAGAGCTTAAAACTGATGTATCCAGGTTTTGTGTTAATCCCCTTGTATGAGATTTGTGTTCCTGATTTATATTCTGAAGGTTGTTGCGATTCAACCTTCCAGGGATGCAAGCATTGTTGTCACTTGGCAGAACCCTTTCCCCCACCCCACTCCCCTGAACCGCTCTGCACCGTGCAGGCACGCTGCACAACCCCTTTGACTGGCGAGTGCTGGCTGTGTTTCTGTTCCGCGTGATTCAGCGCACCAACCACCCCGTGGGACCCCTTCCCCATTCCGAACCTCCTCACAAGAACTTCTATGTCTGTCATTCAGGAATGTAGCCCATGAACACAACCAATTCAAGTCGACAGGGATTTTCATTCCACCTTGGTTTGAGACGGACCAAGGGGGTTCGGCATTCACAGTTACTCCCACTCCTCACCACGTCTCTTCCTCCTCCCCTCACATCTCAGGGCGATCTGGATGCCAGCTCATCAGCACCAGGGCAAGTGGTGCTCACCTTCCATTCGCTTTACGGCAGACATGTGAGTCCCACCCCACCCTGCCCCATGCGCTGCCTCCTATCCCTTGCTGTGTCCTGGAAGCTTGGTCCCACGTGCTTGGTCCCACGTGCTTGGTCCCACGTGCTTGGTCCCACGTGCTTGGTCCCACGTGCTTGGTCCCACGTGCTTGGTCCCACGTGCTTGGTCCCACGTGCTTGGTCCCACGTGCTTGGTCCCACGTGCTTGGTCCCACGTGCTTGGTCCCACGTGCTTGGTCCCACGTGCTTGGTCCCACGTGCTTGGTCCCACGTGCTTGGTCCCACGTGCTTGGTCCCACGTGCTTGGTCCCACGTGCTTGGTCCCACGTGCTTGGTCCCACGAGCTTGGTCCCACGTGCTTGGTCCCACGTGCTTGGTCCCACGTGCTTGGTCCCACGTGCTTGGTCCCACGTGCTTGGTCCCACGTGCTTTGGTCCCACGTGCTTGGTCCCACGTGCTTGGTCCCACGTGCTTGGTCCCCACGTGCTTGGTCCCACGTGCTTGGTCCCACGTGCTTGGTCCCACGTGCTTGGTCCCACGTGCTTGGTCCCACGTGCTTGGTCCCACGTGCTTGGTCCCACGTGCTTGGTCCCACGTGCTTGGTCCCACGTGCTTGGTCCCACGTGCTTGGTCCCACGTGCTTGGTCCCACGTGCTTGGTCCCACGTGCTTGGTCCCACGTGCTTGGTCCCACGTGCTTGGTCCCACGTGCTTGGTCCCACGTGCTTGGTCCCACGTGCTTGGTCCCACGTGCTTGGTCCCACGTGCTTGGTCCCACGTGCTTGGTCCCACGTGCTTGGTCCCACGTGCTTGGTCCCACGTGCTTGGTCCCACGTGCTTGGTCCCACGTGCTTGGTCCCACGTGCTTGGTCCCACGTGCTTGGTCCCACGTGCTTGGTCCCACGTGCTTGGTCCCACGTGCTTGGTCCCACGAGCTTGGTCCCACGTGCTTGGTCCCACGTGCTTGGTCCCACGTGCTTGGTCCCACGTGCTTGGTCCCACGTGCTTGGTCCCACGTGCTTGGTCCCACGTGCTTGGTCCCACGTGCTTGGTCCCACGTGCTTGGTCCCACGTGCTTGGTCCCACGTGCTTGGTCCCACGTGCTTGGTCCCACGTGCTTGGTCCCACGTGCTTGGTCCCACGTGCTTGGTCCCACGTGCTTGGTCCCACGTGCTTGGTCCCACGTGCTTGGTCCCACGTGCTTGGTCCCACGTGCTTGGTCCCACGTGCTTGGTCCCACGTGCTTGGTCCCACGTGCTTGGTCCCACGTGCTTGGTCCCACGTGCTTGGTCCCACGTGCTTGGTCCCACGTGCTTGGTCCCACGTGCTTGGTCCCACGTGCTTGGTCCCACGTGCTTGGTCCCACGTGCTTGGTCCCACGTGCTTGGTCCCACGTGCTTGGTCCCACGTGCTTGGTCCCACGTGCTTGGTCCCACGTGCTTGGTCCCACGTGCTTGGTCCCACGTGCTTGGTCCCACGTGCTTGGTCCCACGTGCTTGGTCCCACGTGCTTGGTCCCACGTGCTTGGTCCCACGTGCTTGGTCCCACGTGCTTGGTCCCACGTGCTTGGTCCCACGTGCTTGGTCCCACGTGCTTGGTCCCACGGTGCTTAGGTCCCACGTGCTTGGTCCCACGTGCTTGGTCCCACGTGCTTGGTCCCACGTGCTTGGTCCCACGTGCTTGGTCCCACGTGCTTGGTCCCACGTGCTTGGTCCCCACGTGCTTGGTCCCACGTGCTTGGTCCCACGTGCTTGGTCCCACGTGCTTGGTCCCACGTGCTTGGTCCCACGTGCTTGGTCCCACGTGCTTGGTCCCACGTGCTTGGTCCCACGTGCTTGGTCCCACGTGCTTGGTCCCACGTGCTTGGTCCCACGGCTTGGTCCCACGTGCTTGGTCCCACGTGCTTGGTCCCACGTGCTTGGTCCCACGTGCTTGGTCCCACGTGCTTGGTCCCACGTGCTTGGTCCCACGTGCTTGGTCCCACGTGCTTGGTCCCACGTGCTTGGTCCCACGTGCTTGGTCCCACGTGCTTGGTCCCACGTGCTTGGTCCCACGTGCTTGGTCCCACGTGCTTGGGTCCCACGTGCTTGGTCCCACGTGCTTGGTCCCCACGTGCTTGGTCCCACGTGCTTGGTCCCACGTGCTTGGTCCCACGTGCTTGGTCCCACGTGCTTGGTCCCACGTGCTTGGTCCCACGTGCTTGGGGTCCCCACGTGCTTGGTCCCACGTGCTTGGTCCCACGTGCTTGGTCCCACGTGCTTGGTCCCCACGTGCTTGGTCCCACGTGCTTGGTCCCACGTGCTTGGTCCACGTGCTTGGTCCCACGTGCTTGGTCCCACGTGCTTGGTCCCACGTGCTTGGTCCCACGTGCTGGTCCCACGTGCTTGGTCCCACGTGCTTGGTCCCACGTGCTTGGTCCCACGTGCTTGGTCCACGTGCTTGGTCCCACGTGCTTGGTCCCACGTGCTTGGTCCCACGTGCTTGGTCCCACGTGCTTGGTCCCACGTGCTTGGTCCCACGTGCTTGGTCCCACGTGCTTGGTCCCACGTGCTTGGTCCCACGTGCTTGGTCCCCACGTGCTTGGTCCCACGTGCTTGGTCCCACGTGCTTGGTCCCACGTGCTTGGTCCCACGTGCTTGGTCCCACGTGCTTGGTCCCACGTGCTTGGTCCCACGTGCTTGGTCCCACGTGCTTGGTCCCACGTGCTTGTCCCACGTGCTTGGTCCCACGTGCTTGGTCCCACGTGCTTGGTCCCACGTGCTTGGTCCCACGTGCTTGGTCCCACGTGCTTGGTCCCACGTGCTTGGTCCCACGTGCTTGGTCCCACGTGCTTGGTCCCACGTGCTTGGTCCCACGTGCTTGGTCCCACGTGCTTGGTCCCACGTGCTTGGTCCCACGTGCTTGGTCCCCGTGCTTGGTCCCACGTGCTTGGTCCCACGTGCTTGGTCCACGTGCTTGGTCCCACGTGCTTGGTCCCACGTGCTTGGTCCCACGTGCTTGGTTCCCACGTGCTTGGTCCCACGTGCTTGGTCCACGTGCTTGGTCCCACGTGCTTGGTCCCACGTGCTTGGTCCCACGTGCTTGGTCTCCAACGTGCTTGTCCCCACGTGCTTGGTCCCACGTGCTTGGTCCCACGTGCTTGGTCCCACGTGCTTGGTCCCACGTGCTTGGTCCCACGTGCTTGGTCCCACGTGCTTGGTCCCCACGTGCTTGGTCCCACGTGCTTGGTCCCACGTGCTTGGTCCCACGTGCTTGGTCCCACGTGCTTGGTCCCACGTGCTTGGTCCCACGTGCTTGGTCCCACTTGCTTGGTCCCACGTGCTTGGTCCCACGTGCCTTGGTCCCCACGTGCTTGTCCCACGTGCTGGTCCCACGTGCGTGGTCCCACGTGCTTGGTCCCCACGTGCTTGGTCCCACGTGCCTTGTCCCACGTGCTTGGTCCCCACGTTGCTTGGGTCCACACGTGCTTGGTCCCACGTGCTTGGTCCCACGTGCTTGGTCCCACGTGCTTGGTCAATCCCCCACGTGAGGCTTGGTCCCACGGTGCTTGGTCCCACGTGCTTGGTCCCACGTGCCTTGGTCCCACGTGCTTGGTCCCAACGTGATTGGTCCCACGTGCTTGGGTCCCACGTGCTTGGTCCCACGTGCTTGGTCCCCACGTGCTTGGTCCCACGTGCTTGGTCCACGTGCTTGGTCCCACGTGCCTTGGGTTCCAACGTGCTTGGTCCCACGTGCTTGGTCCCACGTGCTTGGTCGCCACGTGCTTGGTCCCACAGTAGCTTGGTCCCACGTGGGCTTGGGTCCCACGTGCTTGGTCCCACGTGCTTGGTCCCACGTGCTTGGTCCCACGTGCTTGGTCCCACGTGCTTGGTCCCACGTGCTTGGTCCCACGTGCTTGGTCCCACGTGCTTGGTCCCACGTGCTTGGTCCCACGTGCTTGGTCCCACGTGCTTGGTCCCACGTGCTTGGTCCCCGTGCTTGGTCCCACGTGCTTGGTCCCACGTGCTTGGTCCCACGTGCTTGGTCCCCACGTGCTTGGTCCCACGTGCTTGGTCCCACGTGCTTGGTCCCACGTGCTTGGTCCACGGGCTTGGTCCCACGTGCTTGGGTCCCACGTGCTTGGTCCCACGTGCTTGGTCCCACGTGCTTGGTCCCACGTGCTTGGTCCCACGTGCTTGGTCCCACGTGCTTGGTCCCACGTGCTGGTCCCACGTGCTTGGTCCCACGTGCTTGGTCCCACGTGCTTGGTCCCACGTGCTTGGTCCCACGTGCTTGGTCCCACGTGCTTGGTCCCACGTGCTTGGTCCCACGTGCTTGGTTCCCACGTGCTGGTCCCACGTGCTTGGTCCCCACGTGCTTGGTCCCACGTGCTTGGTCCCACGTGCTTGGTCCCACGTGCTTGGTCCCCACGTGCTTGGTCCCACGTGCTTGGTCCCACGTGCTTGGTCCCACGTGCTTGGTCCCACGTGCTTGGTCCCACGTGCTTGGTCCCACGTGCTTGGTCCCACGTGCTTGGTCCCACGTGCTTGGTCCCACGTGCTTGGTCCCCACGTGCTTGGTCCCACGTGCTTGGTCCCACGTGCTTGGTCCCACGTGCTTGGTCCCACGTGCTTGGTCCCACGTGCTTGGTCCCACGTGCTTGGTCCCACGTGCTTGGTCCCACGTGCTTGGTCCCACGTGCTTGGTCCCACGTGCTTGGTCCCACGTGCTTGGTCCCACGTGCTTGGTCCCACGTGCTTGGTCCCACGTGCTTGGTCCCAAGTGCTTGGTCCCACGTGGCTTGGTCCCACGTGCTTGGTCC